CAGGTGCAAGTGGAGGAGTGGGGAATCAAACCCGGTTCTCCCAGATTAGAGTCCGCACACTTAACCACTACACCAAACTGGCACAGGGCCTACTGTTTTCAGAGGGCCGAGTCCTACTTGAGATTGGAGTTCCATCATGGAAGCTCCAGATGTGCAGAAAAGGGTCTGTGGCTGAGCCTCTGCTCAGCATGCAGAAGGAAGTGATGGGAAAGACCTCAGCTTGACACCTTGGAGAGCTGCTGCCAGTCCAAGTAGACAATACTGACCTTGATGGACCAAGGGTCAGCACAAGGCTGCCTCATTTGTTCGTGTGACAGCGGGCAAAGTTTAATCACTACACCAAACTACACCAAACTTTCAAGGACAGCTCTTGTCAGAACTATGGCTTGCACAAGGTCATCCAGCAGCAGCAAGTGGAGGAGTGGGGAATCAAACCTGGTTCTCCCAGATTAGAGTCCGCACACTTAACCACGACACCAAACTACACCAATCTTTCAAGGACAGCTCTTGTCAGAACTGTGCCTTGCCCAAGGACATCCAGCAGCTGTAAGTGGAGGAGTGGAGAATCAATCCCAGTTCTCCCAGATTAGAGTCTGCACACTTAACCACTACACCAAACTACACCAAACTTTCAAGGACACCAGACTATGGTAACATGAGTTTCTTCGGTCTGCTTCAGAGTCTGAGGAGAATGAAGTTCCGTTCTCTTAGTCATTTTGCCTGAATCTGACGAAGTGAGCAGTGACTATCGAAAGCTCCCGCCCTGCTACCAATTTTGTTAGTCTTTAAGGTGCTCCTGGACTCTTACTATTTTCTGCCTTCTCTTACCTGTTTGAACACAAAGTCACAGACAGCCTGGAAGGTCTTCTTTGGCATCGGCGGCTTGCACTCCTCACAGATGTCCAAAAAAAGGCGGAGCCTCTGAAAACAGGACATGATGTTTGTACAGATAAACAGCAATAATAGGTAGGCAAGTGGCCAACTGAGGAATGACCGGAGGGAGAGCAGAGTGAGGATAGCGGCCCGTGTCCCGTTATTTTGCTCTGCTACAGTTTCCAAGTTGGGCTTAGGAAACTCTTGGAGATTTGGGGTCTGGGGAGGACAGAGTTTGGGAAGGGCAGTGATGTGACATCACATCCTGGTCAGACCTTCTCCACTTCCAGTGAGGTCACTTCCTTCCATCAACATCAATGATGTGACATCACATCCTGGTCAGACCTTCCAACTCCTCCCCCTCCAGCGAGGTCACTTCCTACCATCAAAATCCAAATGTTGAATTTCCACTTCATATCACCCCCCCAACTTTTTCCTCGCACCTTACAGTACTCATACACTTCTGTATACATCTGTCCTCTGTGTCATACTAACCCCTGATCCTGAAAACTTCTGCTGTTATAACTAGCTGCTGTCCAATTATGTTAAAAGCAAAAATGATTACCTTTTTTTTTTGTTCAGTCGCACAGTCGAGTCCGACTCTTTGCGACCCCATGGGCCAGATCACGCCAGGCCTTCTGGTCTTCCGCCGTCCTCTGAAGTTTGCTCAACTTCATGCTCGTTGTATCTATGACACTGTCTAACCATCTCATCCTTTGCCGTCCCCGTCTTCTTTGGCCTTCAATCTTTCCCAGCATCAGGGTCTTCTCCAGTGAGGGCTCCCTTCTCATTGGGTGGCCAAAGTATTTGAGCGAGAATAGTTATATAGACACCAAATAAATTACAAATCTATAATGGAGCCTCTGAATATATTTTTTTAACTATTATCTTAGAAAGACATACCAACCAGTGTTCCCTCTAAGCTGACTTAGTCTGTGCTAGCTCACAGTTTTTTAGCCTCTGGCTCACACATTTTTGTCTTAGCTCAGGAAGGATGGCTCCAGAGCAGACTAATTTATGCAGGAGCCAAATCGGTCACTCACAACTTTAATGCCAGTAGCTCATACAGTAGAATTTTTGCTCACAAGACTCCACAGCTTGGAGGCAGCATTGATACCAAACAGGGGTCATTTCGTAGAAAAAGAGCCAGGGGAACTCATTAGCATAACTCATTAGCATATGCCACACCCCCTGACATCAGGGGCTCGGCGGTGGACCTGCAAGGCCAGCGGGAGTGCGAGGAAGCCCTGCCAAGGCCCTCCCTGGCCCCAGGCAGGCAGGGGTGGGGAGAGACGGGGAGGAAGCAACAACTCTTCTTCTGCCTCCTCCTGGCTGAATGAGGGCTGGAAGCGGGGCGGCCAGAAGCAGGGGGCGGGGCTTCGTTATGTGCCCCGCCCCCCTGCACCTCACCCGGGGGAACTGCGTTCCCCCACGTTCCCTCGCGTTCCCCCCCGAAATGACCTCAGATACCAACATAGGTTTTAAAAAGACACACCTTCATAGATTTATAACAAAAACCATGTATAAACAATAACCGTTTCATGGGTAGGCTCACTGTAGAATCCCGTTTCAAATATTCTTTGTCAAAGTTTGAACTGCTAAAAGTCTTCTTAAAGTTTTCTTATTACTGGCCGCATCCCCACAGTCTGTTTGAAAACAACATAAATCTTCATAAGACCTACGCTGGCATGTCTTTCTAAGATAATGGTAAAAAATTTTCAAAGGCTCCATTATAGATTTATAGTTTATTGGGTATCTATATAACCAGGAGTCATTTCATAGAAAAAGAGCTGCAGGAGCTCATTAGCATACCCAATAAGCTATTAGCATAATAGCTAATTAGCATATGTCACACACCCTGATATCACTGGAAATTATGTCAGAAGGGGAAGCAAAAGGGGGGAGACATCTTCAAAAGCCTCCCCTCCCCTTCCCCAGCTGAGAAGGGGTTTAAAGTTTAAACCTCTTCTATCTTCACTCCCCCCCGGCCACCTTGGCAGGCTGGCTCGGGAAGGGGAGGCTTTTGAAGATGCCTCCCCCCTTTTTGCTTCCGCAGCCAGCGTGCCAAGGACGGCTGAGGGGGGGAAGCAACGAGAGAAGGGGTTTAAAGTTTAAACCCCTTCTCTCTGGAGTCACACCACAGTGGCAGCGCAATCTTTCCATTGTATTCTATGGATACAATGGAGAGATCGTACCGCTGCTGCGGCACGATTCTAGACTGAAGGAGCTTGGGGGAGGGGTCAGAGAGCTGAGGGCGGGGCTTGCTGCCACCGGGGCTGCCGGAGTGGTGCTCCGGCAAGCTCCGGCCACAAACGACCCCTGTATATAATTATTCTCTACGGTAATCATTTTTGCTTTGTATATGTACTACATCTGTAGTTCTCCTGTTTTTGCTGGTCCATAGAATCATAGAATGTTAGAGTTGGAAAGGATCTTGCAAGTCATCTAGTCCAACCCCCTGCACTTTGCAGGAGCATAGCTGAAAGATAGCCCTGCAACATACCCAAAAGATGGTCGCTCAGCCTCCGCTCAAAAACGTCCAGCGAAGGAGCCTCCACCACCTCCCGAGGCAGACTGTTCCACTGCTCAACCACTTACAGTTAGGAAGTTTCTCCTGATATTTAACCGGTAACGACTCCTTTGTCATTTCCACGCATTAGACCTAGTCTTGCAATCCGGAGCAAGAGAGAATAGATCCGCTCCATCTTCTACATGACAGCCCTTCAAATACTTGAAGACTACAATCATGTCCCCTCTAAGCCTTCTCTTTCCCAGGCTAAACAGACCCAACTCTTTCAGCCTTTCCTCGTAAGACTTGGATTCCAACCCTCTCACCATCCTGGTTGCCCTCTTCTGGACACGCTCAAGCTTGTCAACATCCTTCCCGAAATGTGGTGCCCAAAACTTGACACAGGACTCCAGGTGAGGCCTGACCATAGCGGTTATGTTCAACATAAGAAAATACCTCTCAAAAGTCTCTTGAGGTTTCTTTTCTCAGAAAAATCCACTCTGAAGGCCCATAGGAGGACGCCAGTCAGTGGCAGTCCCTTGGGGGGGGACATTTGGAGTGGGTAGAGACTGGGGGAAATGACATCACAGCGTTGCGCAATGCTGTAGACCCCTAACACCTATGGTTTTTAACCATAGAGTTTGCAGGAATTCCTAGAGTGGTACATGACGCACTGGCATCATTCACCCCCCCCCCCAGGTTTGGCTCCTGTTGCCACCACTGCGGCCCGACTCCAAAGTTTAAACCCCTTTTCTCTTTGCTTGCCCGCCCCCAGCCCGCCTTGGCCGGCCAGCTGGGGAAGCAAAAGGGTGGGGGGGTCACGATCTGGGCTGTGCTACCAGAGGCCTACTAGGCCCAGGGAGCCTGGCTAGCAGTAGGTGAGGCTGGGCCTACAACTCCCAGAAGTTCCTGAGAGGTTGCTCCATTGAGACCTGGAGCAGCATGGGTAGAAGAAGAAGTAGAAGAGATTGGATTTATATCCCACCCTTCACTACCCAAAGGTGTCTCAGAGCGGCTGACAAACTCCTTTCCCTTCCTCTCCCCACAGCAGGCACCCTGTGAGGTGGGTGAGGCTGAGAGAGCTCTTGACAGAAACTGCTCTTTTTTCAAGGACAGCTGTGCCAGAACTATGGCTTGTCCAAGGTCATCCAGCAGGTGCAAGTGGAGGAGTGGTGAATCAAACCTGGTTCTCCCAGATTAGAGTCCGCGCACTTAACCACTATACCAAACTGGCTCTCAAACTGGGTAAGAGGGTGTCTGCCATGGTAGGCAACCTGGAAAGCCAATTCCTAACTGTTTGTAGTGTCTTGACAGGTGACGACTGATCCGTTTCTGCTCGTCTCTGTGGTATACCATAGGAGAAGCAGAAGTCCTAGAGCTCGAACTTTTGAGACAGGGCCAAGAAGCAGGTTTCGTCATGACATTTTCGCTTCTCAGAATTAGGAGATTGATCCCACAGGTCTACTCCTTTAATAGTCACACCTTCCTCAGACATAAGGAGACTTCCCCTGACTCAAGACGTGCCGCATTGGTTCTGTGGCAACCTGAGATGTTCTGCTGAAACTTCAGCCTCTTAAGATTTCTGCAAAAGCATCACTATCTTCTGTGTGCATGTTCTGAACTTTGTTGGGGAGAAGCGACTCGGAGGGACAGTCTGCGCTGAATAAGCAGGACTGGGGGGGGACACACTACCCCATGGACCTAGAAAATGAGTGGAAAGGTCACAACGGAGTCGTGAAGAAATAAGGGAGGCCACATACTCTGGCGACAAGGAAGGAGTCCAGACTCCTGCTCACTGCGAGCAGCTGTGGGACGCTCTTGACGAGTTCCTCCTGCTGCTCTTGACGCCGGATCAAAACGCCGAACATGGGCCACAGAGCTTTCACCGACGCCTCCTGAACCTGTGAAGAGGACAGGCGGAAAGAGTCTCCCTGTCGTACCCCATAATGGTGCTTGCCTGACCTTGTCAGTGTCGGCATGTGGATAATGAATGCCTTAGCAAGACTGCAGCCTGTTAGACAGATTATGGCCGCGGTCACACAGAGCAGTAGCCACGTTTACGGAGCATTAGCCACGTTACTGAGACGGATGATAGGCGGATTTTCCAGGCACAATCACACCACAACATCTGCGAAGCGTAGAGCTCCCGTGGGGAACCCGAGGCTTCCCGCCGAAGATGCGGTGTAAAAAACTAGTATCTCCGAGGTACTAGTTTCCGGACACTGCGGGGCAAGGGCTGGCATTTCCAGTGGAAGTTCGTGGCATCCGGTGTCCGCCCATGTCCCATCGCAAACAGGTTCCCCCCCCCAAGTCTCCACAGGATGTGCACAAGCACCCAACGGTGCATGCGCACGAAGAGGAAAGTGAAAGTTGTGTTGCTGCGCAGAATCGCGCATGCCGTTGAACGCGAAACCAAAAGTTCCACTCCTCCGTCCTTCGGCTTAAAGGAAAAGAAATGATCCCGTTTGCCACGGCAGCGGCGCCTAGCCATTGCTGGTGTGATCGTGCCGTGCTGCTTCTTTGCCGCACTGCAGGATCGTCATGTGATCGCCCCCCTCGTTTCCCCGCCGGCACCGAGGGAAGGACCCGTGGTGTGACGCCGGCGCGTCTGATCGTGTAATCGTGGATCAAACTGCGCTGGGGCAATTAGCCACGCCTCCCCCACGATATCCGGCCTGTGTGACGGGGGCCCATGGTGATGTCAATGACCGTCAGAGGTCACATGACTGGACATGTTGCACCAGCCGCAGGAGGTGCTTCAGTGATTCAGCATCTCTGTGCTGATTGGATATCCCTGTGTATATAAGTCTGTAATGTATGTGCTACTGTATGCCAGTATGGTACCAGGTTGCTTGGCGAAGCACTTTGTCAGTGGAATCTGTGAATGCTTTGCCAGAAGGACTGTGTATATATTGTAAATAAACGTGTAAATAGCACTAACCGAAGCTAGTGTGTGCAAGTTCTACGTGACTCTACAACGCTCGCTAAACAGACAGGAGATATATCAACTGCCAACATTGCCCACAATACCGTCAATCAGATCTCAGAAGCTAAGCAGGGTAGGCCCTGGTTAGCAGTTGGATGGGTGACCACCAGTGTACCCTCTAAGCTGAGTTAGTGTGAGCTAGCTCGCACGTTTTTTTAGCCTCTGGCTCACCCGTTTTTGTCTTCGTTCAGGAAGGAGGGCTCCAGAGCAAACTAATTTATGCAGTAGCCAAATCGCTCCCTCACAGCTTTAATGCCGGTAGCTCTCAAAGTAGAATTTTTGCTCTGTGTTTTTTTTTAAAAAAAACTTTTTGCGCATGCGCATAGGCATCACAGCGCATCCTTGTTGATCCGCGCATGTGTAGAGATTTTTTAAAAATTGCTCCCGCTCAGGACGTCAGACCACCCCGATGGGAGGAATGCGTGCTTGTGGAACGATCAGACGGGTGAAAGTCCGCCGTTGTCCCGCAGGTAACCGAAAACCCCAGATTTAAAGTGCTATCTTTTAAGTACGGCTCCGAAGTGCGGCAAAACGGGATGCCCACGGAAGAGGGACCTTTCCCAGATGTTTGTTTCTGGACATTACCTTTAGATCCGTGAGGCAATCGTGCCTCGTGCGGATCTAAAGAGCCGTCTGATTGGACTCACAGAGTTGGAAGGGGCCATACAGGCCATCTGGTCCAACTGGTCCAATGCAGGGATGTCAATTTCTTGTGGGTTGTAAAGGTGTCCCGTTCTCACCTGGGGCTCTTCGTCATTCATCCAGTCACCGACCAGACGCCTGTATATGGGGACCAGAGGGCTGCAAAGCTGGGATTCCGCCTCTCTGGGGAAGGAGCAGACTTTCCAGTTTTTGTAGTAATAGTTTATTGCTGTGCAGAAGTGCTCCATCACTGTGGAACCAAAGAGACACTGGGTCTAGAAGCTGATGATGAAAATTAACGCTTTTGAGCGTCTCAAAAAAAAAAAAAAGCGGGAAGCTAGGAGGATGCTGAACATGACAGAAATCCTTAACTTTTAGGGTTGCCAACCTCCAGGCTTGTGGAGTTCTGGCCCTGCTGCTGGACCTCCTGATGGCCCCTGAGTTTCAGCCACTGTGTGACACAGAGTGTTGGACTAGATGGGCCATTGGCCTGGTCCAACATGGCTTCTCTTATGTCCAGAGCAGTGATGCTCTGAATTCTTGGTGCTTAGGGGGTAAGAGTGAGAGGGCTTCTGGAATTCAGGCCCCACTGCTGGACCTCCTGATGGCCCCTGAGTTTCAGCCACTGTGTGACACAGAGTGTTGGACTGGATGAAGAGAAGAAGAAGAAGAAGAAATTGTATTTATACCCCACCCTTCACTACCCAAAGGTGTCTCAGAGTGGCTTACAAACTCCTTTCCCTTCCCCTCCCCACAACAGACACCCTGTGAGGTGGGTGGGGCTGAGAGAGCTCTGACAGAAACGGCTCTTTTTCAAGAACAGCTCTTATCAGAGCTGCCCAAGGTCATCCAGCCAGGTGCAAGTGGAGGAGTGGGGAATCAAACCCGGTTCTCCCAGATTAGAGTCCGCGCACTTACCCACCACACCAAACTGGCTCTACGGATGGCTCTACTGGCTCTATGGATGGGCCATTGGCCTGGTCCAACATGGGTTCTCTTATGTCCGGAGCAGTGATGCTCTGAATTCTTGGTGCCTGGGGGGCAACAGTGGGAGGGCTTCTGGCCCCACTGGTGGACCTCCTGATGGCCCCTGGGTTTGGCCACTGCGGTACACAGAGTGATGGACTGGATGGGCCACTGGCCTGATCCAACATGGCTTCTCTTAGGTTCTTATAGCCTCTCTCTGGAGGTCTCCCATTTTTACAACTGATCTCCAGGTGACAGAGATAGGTTCACCTGGAGAAAATGGCTGCTTTGGACAGTGGACTCTATGGCATTATACCCTGCTGAGGTCCCTCCCCAAGCTCCCCCCTCCCCCCAGGTATTTCCTAGCCCGGAGTTGGTAACCCGCCCTCACCGTAACAGATGGCCTCCTTCATTGGGCTGATCATGGGCAGCTTCAGCATCAACCAGATGTACAAGGTGGTCAGGGACACAAAGGGGATGCTCTTCAGGGCTGCAAGGAGGAGGAAACCCGTGCAGAAATGTGTTAAGTACATTGGCTTGCCATCCTCCAGGAGGGGCCTGGAGTTCCCCTAGAATTACAGCTGCTCCTCAGACGACAAAGATCAGCTCCCCTGGAGAAAACGACTGCTGTGGAGGTTGGACCCACATCCCCGATGAGCTCCCTCCACCACCCCCCAACGCCATCCTTCCCAGGTTCCTACCCAGGGGTCATTTCATAGAAAAAGAGGCGCAGGAGCTCATTAGCATACCTATTAGCATAACTCATTAGCAGATGCCACACACCCTGACATGTCAGAAGGGGAAGCAAAAAAGGGGGAAAGGCATCTTCAAAAGCCTCCACTCCCCTTGCCCAGCCGGTCTGCCAAGGTGGGGTGGGGTAGGGGAGGCGAAGCGGGAAGGGGTTTAAAGTTTAAACCCCTTCTCTCTAGAGTCGCGCCGCAGAGGCGGCACGGTCTTTCCATTGTATTCTATGGGGCCATAGGATACAATAGGAGATTGTGCCGCTGCTGCGGCACGACTCTAGAGCCCAGCCGGTCTGCCAAGGTGGGGTGGGGTAGGGGAGGCGAAGCGGGAAGGGGTTTAAACTTTAAAACCTTTCTCTTTTCACTTCGTCCGCAAGCCCGCTGGGAGCTGGGGGTGGGGCTGGCCACCACCTCCATTTGTGGCCGCTCCTGGGCTGCCGGAGCGCTGCTCCGGTTCGCTCCGGCCCCAAATGGCCCTTGTTCCTACCCCTTTCCCCCAGATCTGCAGGGATTTCCCAACTCAGAGTTGGCAACTCTTGGTAGGAGTAATTGAAATCTGTAAGGTAAAGGTTCCCTTGCTCGAAAGCCAGTCGAGTCCGACTCTAGGGTTGCGGTGCTCATCTCCGTTTCAAAGGCGAAGAGCCAGCGCTGTCCGAAGACGTTTCCATGGTCATGTGGCCAGTATGACTAAACACCAAGGCACACGGAATGCTGTTACTTTCCCACCAAAGTGGTACCTATTTATCTACTTGCAATGTCTTGCTTTCGAACTGGTAGGTTGGCAGGAGCTGGAACTAGAGACGGGGGCTCACTCCGTCATGCGGCACCCGGGTCTCAAACTGCTGAACTACCGACCTTCCACAGCCTGCCGTTCAGCATCTTGACCACTTGAGCCACCGCATGTGCTTAACTTGAACTGAGCATATTGGACGGAGCTCACATATTATTCCCATCCTTGCAAGGCACTCCACTGACTGTGTGGCTCAGTGGTAGAGCATCTGCTTGGCATGCAGAAGGTCCCGGGTTTGATCCCCGGCATCTCCAGTTTAAAAAAGGACCAGGCAGTGGGTGATGGGAAAGACCTCAGCCTGAGACCCTGGAGAGTTGTTGCTAGTCTGAGTGGGCAGGACTGACCCTGAGGGACCAACGGTCTGGTTCAGCACAAGGCAGGTTCATGTGTGAGTTTTGAGAAGAGGCTATGGCTTAGTGATGGAGCATCAGCTTGGCATGCAGAAGGTCCCAAATTCAATCCCCAACATCCCTAGTTAAAAGCACCAGGCAGTGGGTGACGTGGAAAACCTCAGCCTGAGACCCTGGAGAGCAGCTGCCAGACTGAGTATACAATGCTGACCTTAATGGACCAATGGCCTGACTCAGTATAAGGCAGCTTAATGTGTTCATCAGTTACTGGGCTCAATTTAAGGTATTAGCTATCACATACAAAGTCCTGCATGGCCTCGGGCCCTTTGATGTGCATCACTAAAGTGGCGGGCTAGACTTATTTTTTTTTGGGGGGGGGAGAGAACAGCTC